CTGTTTAATGCAGAACATGAATGCATTTAACCTGCAGTTACAAATGCATAAATAATGTTTTGATATATTAAACATAAACCATTGAATACTGATATTTTAAATGATTTATGCAAACATCTAGAGACAGTGATAAATAAATAGGGGAAGATTTAAAAAAAAAAAAAAACTCCTGACCTATCCTGAACTCCTTAATCTCTGGAATCAGTCATTGTGTGGGCTGAATGCTGCAGTCAAACCCTTAATTAACAGACTCGTGTATGGACTCAGCTAAAACTTACGAAAACATGTCCAGGTCACATTTCACCCAAAATCAAAAGTAAAAGTAAACAAATATTTTCCTATTTATTTTGGATAAACAATTTGATTTCAGTCAAGTCTTTTTTGCACTTTTTTTTTTGCAATGTGGCATTATTTTCATGACAGTTAAGCACATTTGTGTTCCGTGTACATTCATTAATTTTTGTATTTTTGTTAGTATAATATTTGAATAAGGAAAAAAATTACTTTTTTTCAGCAAGAATTTAGCTTGATAGAAAACCTAAAAACAACAATAAAAAAATCAAGTTGTATTCTTTTTTTGTGAAAAATAGAAAAACTTTTTTTTTTTTAATTTTGCTTTTAATATTTAACCAAAAAACTTTTTTATTTACATTTCCCATTATTCATTTATTCTTAATACTGTAATACAAAACAGTAAAATATTACTATAATATTATGTTTTAACTTATTCAAAGGCAGTACAACAAATACTACAATGAGGTACAAATGATTCACAATTTAATGACATATCGCTTTTTTTATTACTTTAATGAGAATGAGATTTGTTTTCCATTTTGCTGAAAAAAATGTCACAATGTAAAAAAAAAAAATCTCAAGTGTCCCACAAATATTAACCTTCATTTTCTTTATGAAAAATACCATTACCTACTGTTACTTTCTTTTGATTTTAGGGGTGAAATACAAAATACAGGACATATTTTTGACAGGTTTTGTGGTGTTGGGAGAAGCCCAATCAGCTGTCTTTCTGATCTAGTTTGTGCTTATAACCTGGCTTTGTCATAGTCAGTGGGTTTGGAGCTGTTGGGATGTGCAGCAACAACCTGCGGATTCACAGTGTGGTGGCTCTTACATGGCAACTCCAATCCAGGGTGACCAATGGTGTTGCGGACACATGGAGGAGAATGCCGCCCATCTGCCATGTCTGACTCTGAACACTGAGCTTCCCCATGCATGACGGCCAGGCCAAGACGCAGGCGCTCTGCATACGACTGAGCCCTGAGTAGACAACGGCAAGAGAGGGAAGACAAACAGAGATGTTCCTTATGATCCTCTTGGCTGTATTTTTATATGAGTGGCTTGTTATGGAGTCCTGAAGACTTACTCCTCTTTTCCATAATAATCGTCAAGCTTTAAAACTGAAAAAGCAGATAAAATTCCAAACAACTTGTGCGCTACATTCAAAAACTTATTGTTTTTATAAGTACACAGTTAAAGGGATAGTTCACTCAAAAATGAACATTTTGTCTTTTTTTTTCCCCCCCAGTCTCGTGTTGTTCCAAACCTGCAAGAATTTCTTTCTTCTAATGAACACAAATGAAGATATTTTGAGGAACCAAACAGCTGCTGCAAGCCCCTGATTTCCAGTTTTTGTTTTTCTTCCATGGCTATCATTAAATCATCAGTTAAATAACTTGCAAAACACACCTTTCGGAGTTGAAACAAAGAATATCTTGAAGTCGAGTTTACTCAACTCACTATTTTTAAGGCAGCAGGTGAACTTTCGTTTCTAAGTTTAACCAACTCTAAATGTTCTACAGTGTGCGGTCAACTGTTTGGTAACAAACATTCTTCAAAATATCTTCTTTTGTGGCCATTGCATGTTTTCTTTATATGTTTCGGCTACAAATGTTATGGACCTCATTTATCAATCTAACGTAGAAACGAGCTCAGATCCGTGCGCACAAATCAACTTACGACAGAGTTCACGTGTGATTCATGAAACATTCGTATGCCGCCAATCTCATCGTACGAATTATCGCACGTTGATAAATGTGGCGGCATGAAAACAATCGTCATTTGAATATCACGCCCCTAAAAGCACCCTGGTTTAGAAGCCTGGCCCCTAGAGTTTACGACACGGAGAAACGAAACCCGGCCAAAAAGAGGAAGTAATCTTGTGAAAGAGAAATTGATCTTACTCCACAAACACCCTTTAACCTTGTAATTGCAAACAATTAGGCTACATTAATA